CGTAATTTCCAGTTGTTTTAAATTAAGAAAATTATAAGTTTAAATTAAAAGGTAAAATTTGACCTTGATTACTTACCTCTGATTGTTTTAAAAAAACACCCTTGAAAAGTCAAGAAACACGTTAGATAAAAAAAAAGATAAAACACAACAAAAATGAAGATGTACATAGTATTAAATAAAAATAATAATAGAAAAATAAGAAATATATATAGAAACGTATAGAACAAAATATAATAACAAAAAATATACGTAGTAACTAAATAATAATAATACATCTATACTTATACATAAAATGACATAATATATATATATAGAAAAAATTTAATATAATATAATAATTCGAAACAAAAATAGAGAAATATTGTAAATGAAAAGAAAAGTATACTTAAATATATATATATATATATATATATATATATATATATATATATATATACTAATATTAATAAAATAAATAAAGGTAAGAAAAGAAAAAATATATATATACATGTGTAAATAAACACTAGGAAGACAAAATAAATAAAAAAGAATATATATATACATGAGAAAATAATAATAATAAAATAATAGTAAACATAAAAAAATGTGTATATATAATAACGTGAAAGTAAATAAATATAATAAAAAATATACAATAAATAAAATGAGGGGAAAAAGTTGGATTTCAAAAAGTGACTAAATCGAAAGAATCGAAACGTGAAGGTCCAATTTTGAAGAGAAAACATTGATTTTGGGGGGCAATTAAATACTTTAAAAAACAGAGGGGACCAAGAGTGAGATTACCCATTTTTCACACCCATTCCGAAAATCAAAGTATTTTCTCAAGAAAAGAAGCCTCGGGGGCTAGATCTATAAAAATAGATCCCGAAAAATGCCCTTGTTCATCGGTAAAAAAAATCGTTTTCTTTGGTGTTTTTCGAATACAAAATGTAACAAGACACAAGCATGCAAGCATAAAATCGAAAAAGATACTATATTTACCTTGTATTTCTCTTCGAAAATTTGCAGGAAAAAAACTCTAATTTCACTCTAAGATTGCTCGTATTTTCTGATTGTATTTCGTATCACAATCCGTGTCTTCCAAATGGGGAGGATTACATGTATTTATAGTGAAAAAAAACTAATTATTCTTAGAATCCTATCAACAATAGAATCCTAATGTAACTAGACTCCTTGCCCGGTTGTTGCACGTTTGTTGGTGTAGTTGTTAATTTAAAAGATATGGTGGTGGAAGAGTCCCCTTAGGAGAGAAACTCTTGCTAGTTATATCTTTTAAGAAAATAGTTGTCTACACAAGTCATAACATATATAAATTAAAAATCATAAAATCAAGTGAAACAAAATGATTCAAATTAACTACAACATAATATTTAAGGTAAAACATATTAAATAATAAATATAATTATATAACTATAATAAAAAAATAAATTTGGGGCTAAAAAAATCATAACAAAATGATATTGTTTGGTTTAATTTTTTTTAAAATAATCTCACATGGCTAAGAAACATAGAAGAGCATCCCAAAAGTCTAAAGAGTAAAAATATGAGAACAAAACACACATTGCTAAGAAACATAGAAGAGCATCACAACTAACTTCTATAAATAATAGAGGTAATTTGACATTCAAAATCATGGAGCCTTTTGGTGAGCATTAAGTGAACTATTCTTTCACTTCAATCAAGCTCGAATTTTAGGCTTTAATTGAGCTTCTAAATTTTTTTTAGTTCAAGCCTTTTTGAGTTCAAGTTTCAATATTATATTTCGAGTTCGAGTTGAACTTGATAATTTTTAACTTGTGAGTTTGAGTGGAGTTGAGCTTACTTTTAAAGTTTTCAAGTTCGAGTCAAGCTCAGCAATACTCGAGTTCGACTTGGCTCGTTTAACAAACAACGTTTGGTTTAATTTAAAAAAAAAAATTCCGATTTTTTCCGGTTTTCAGACGGTCCGGTTCGAACGGTTCAGCGGTTCTGGCCGGTTCACTAGTAGCGGTTCAACCGGTTTAGATTGAATCGAACTAGGCAACGATTCCCGATTGAACCGGCCGATCCGGTCCGGTTTTCAAAACAATGGTTGTATGACAATTTAATATAAAATTAAAGAAATATGTTATAAAAAAATTTAATAATTTTTTGATATTTTTGGTAGAATGTTATTTTTATCGAAAATATTAATTTCATTATTTAAAATGATCATCTTTATATTAACATTTTCAGTAGGAAAAATAATATTTTATGTAACCTCTAATATTAATATTTTTGATAAAAAAATAATATTTTAAGTAAAATTTTATCAAAAATATTAAAAAATATTAATATTTCTGATAATATATTTTATTAGTTTTATATTAGGTTGTCCTTAAGCATCACCTCCAAGCGGGGAAAGCTAATATTTCCACAAAAGTATCAACAGAAAAAAAACATATTAAAAGAAAAATAAATTGAAAACTTCTTAAATTACTTTGAGTTTATAAAAATATTCATAATTAGTATTTTTTTAAATAAAAAATAAATTATTATATTAGCAGGTCACATCATCCAATATTTTAATTATCAAAATTTAATAAAACAATAATAAAAATGATAAAATATATATATTTTTGAATTAATCATTGATATTTGATCTATTTATCGACTAATCTAAATCGGGTACTGTAAAGGTGAGAGCAACACTCCTAACCCAATTTACTCTATTCACAAACGCCAAAGTTCAAACCTTGACCTTGTTTAAAGAATATAGTACCTCATCCCATTAAATCAGCTGGTTGTTGATATAAAATATAACTTTTTAAATTTAGCAAGTAAAAGTATACAAATATAAAGGTATTTACCTTGTAAACTATAGGTAGGAAATAAATCATGTAAAAGAATCAGACAGTTAGCAAAGCTGCGGTTAACGTTGAAGACCGTCTTTCAGCAAGTAGAACAGTAGTTGTAGCACGAGGGGCTTCCAAAATGTCTACCGGCTTTGCAATGATATCTTCCTGCATGTTCATTTTAAGCTTATTAACCACCATCAGAGATGGTCAACTTCTTTATCGTCGAATTACTTAATTAGCGATATGTTCAGACTAGTGAAAGTAGTAGTATTACAGGCCCTCTTACAAATGACATTGATTTGAATAGTTCTAATTGTGTCACTAAAACGAAGCTCATGAAAACCATAAAACTCACCCCTACTCTTATTGAAGCACAATCATGGTAGCAGGATCGAATTTGATATAACTGAAGCATTCCTAGATAGGAAAAAGGGAATACAAAATTCAGTACTTTTCCCACTATAAAAATTATATAAACGAGGGTCTTCAGACAGAAAACATTTATAAACAACAAAACGTTGACTTTCTAGAGAGGAAAAGAATTTAAAAATGAAAAGATTACTCATAAATATGAGAATTCACATGTATACACAGTCGCCTATCCACCAATTTACTCCATCCCATGTAAGACAAAAGAATCCATTGACAAGCGTATACAAGTAGGATTTTTACTGAAAATTTTGCACGAGTATTAAATGACTCTAACTAAGAACAGGTTCTTCATGAATCAAAGCAGTAAAATGTCATCATTTCCTTTTTCATTAGACAGAATTAAAACACAAATTACAGAAACAATCAACAAACCTTACTCGCATTAGCCTTAGTCGAAAAACTCCAGCAACTTCTCTTTTACTTTAGTTTTTTGCTTTTCCTGTAATTATCACAAATGAATATAGAAAGCCCATAAGTGCAGTTCCTAAAGAAAAATCAGCAATCAAAATCAGCAATATACTTCTGCAGCAACCTAAGACCTACAGAGATAGTTTCTTTGCAAACGCACATGGCCATACTCATGCACACATGTATCATTAGAGATTATTTATGTGTGTTTGTAAGTTCGATATGCCCTATAAAGCGAGAAATGGAAAAGCCCGGGTATAAACAGACCAGCTTTGACAGAAATCAAATTACCTTCCCTCTCCTCTGAAAGTGTCATCAGGCTTCCTTCTAGACAACTTGAATGCCACTGCTGCAAATGACATAGCAGATGTCACTTAACTTGCATCATAGTTCTGAACAATATCAAAGATCTATAGCATCAAACAAGCCCACTGTAAAACACTACCTGTGTAAAGAATGCAGGATATAAATAATAATAATTTTACTGACCTAAGGGGGGAAAACACACATACCATTAGGAATATCTTTAAGAGCAGAACCACGGCCCTGTAAATGCCAAAGCAGCCTATTAATACCTATGGAGTATGGACCACCAAAATACCGAATTCAAACATCAAAATCATTAGTAAAAAGAGATAGTCAATGAGAATACCTTCGATTCAGAGTTCCCTGGGAGCATCTTTGTTGATAAATGATATACAAATATCCCCAAAAAAATATACAAATTGAAGACTCAGCAGGAAAAAGGAAACACTTACAGTGATGTGCAAGAGCTCACTTTATTATCCTTCAAAAGCTTGACAGAAAGGCCCAGTAGAGTTCTAATTTTGCGAAATAAATTACTAAATTAGCTTCATGTTTTTCTCCCGAAGTTGCCGGACTTGAAACCCGGATTTAAAAAGTAGTTAAGTGCCACGTCGGACGTGAGGGCGAGTGACGGAAAATGGCGCGGAACTCGAAAGGGGCTGTAATGGACGGCTTTGATCTTGTTCAGTTTCTCGTTTATTTTTAAATCCAACGGTTGAGGATTTATTTTTTTTAGGTATAACATGCGTCTTGATAGAACGTTGTGAATGAATATGAAAAAGATAAAAATATATTTACACCAACATTAAAAATTATAATAAAAATATTCTTTTAATCTTTTATCAATTAAATTAATATATTTTACATAAAATTATCGATTTTTCCCTAATGAATTCATTTCAATGAGAAAAGGCCCCCAACAGCAATAATTCCACATGCAATATAAAAGTGAAAATGTTGATTCCTTTTCTGCAATGTGTGTCAAGCTCAACAAACCATTAAACTTCATAATAAGAAACCCTAATTCATAGCCAAAATAGTAATGAATTAAGTCTGCAAAATACTGATTTAAACTCTTAAGCTTCGATTTCAAAAGCTGGACACTTGATAGAACCCATTGAAATGTCAATTTCAATTAAATTTTCTTCCTCATTTATTTCTGCCAACAGTTCCACAAGGTCTTGCCGCTGGAAAATAGATTCTGGCAAGAAAGTTGGGAAACTGGACTGCATATTTTGTTTTGGTTCTTCATTGCTTGGGATATCAATTTCAATGAGACATTCTTCTTCTTCTTCATCACCATCAGAGGTTGAATATTCATCTGAGATTTCAGGGTTTGGCTCCACATTACCTGAAACCATCCATTTCAGCTCACCGTTTCCACCTGACCCTGAACCATCACTGCTGATTTCACTCTCTGATGTCAAATCTAGTGACCCATCAGCTTTGCACTCATTCACAGTGCCATCATCAGCTGCTCCTTGGGCAGTATCCGATTCCTCTATTGAAACCACCTTTGTTCTCTTGGAGAATTTGACAATGAAACTCGTTGATAAAATCAAGATTCCAGTTGTGAAAATGATGACAGAGAATTCCAGACCAAGGAAACTAGACAAAACGATTGAGGGAACAAGGATTGAAACACAAAGTAAACAAGGTCTGAAGAGATGAAATGGAGAACAGATTTGATTCTCAGCTGTTGTTCCTATCACCATGTTCAAACAGGATACAGCAAAGATTATGGCATCAAAGTATAGTGAACAGAGAAAGGAAAATGCAAAATAGAACCGACCCTAATTTGCCTCTTACACTATCACTGCTTTAAAAGCAAAAGGAAAGAGATCAGCATTCTGTGTTCCATGAAACTCAAGTGCTTTGTTCTTATCAAAAAGTGATTTGATTCTGAGAATAAAAGCATATCAAAAGTTTTTTACTCCCCACTAACCTCAACAAGGTTTGGAATTGCAAGCCATGAAAAACTCAATGTTTACCCACTTAGTACTATACAATTCTTAAAACCATTTATTTGTTTTTAAAACAAAAGTAAAATTGGAATGTAGGGAACAATCAGAATCACGCATGATGGTAAGTAATAATGTCAGATAATTTTCACCGAATTTCATTTGTCAGCAATAAAAAAATCCAACAAGATGCAATAATGATGTTGCACGTTACTTGCTAGTCCATTTCCAACTCCAAAGTGTTGAATGGAACAAGAGATTGTTTGTTTTGGATGGTAGCGTCCCATTACACCTCTGCTCCTGACTTCCTGTAGATTAATCAATGCCATTAGCTAAGCGGCCAGGTGCATGCATTTGGGGACACCTAAAGCTGAAATCTTCAGTATCTCCAAAGAATCAAGAAAATATGATTTAACTCTTGGATTTTACACCAAAAACATGGGTTATGTTGACACAAATCTCATAATTGAGTGGTTACTGCATTTCCTATACAAATGTTTAAGCAGCTCATTATGTTACATGTAGGTGACTTGTCATAAATGAATGATTGCATACAGGAAGAAGTAAATTAAAGTGGAAAACGATGTCTTTGTACTGCTCTGTGTTCGCTTGCTTTGATTGCTTTTACCATAATCATTAACTCCTGCATTCGAAGCAACCAACACACACTACCCATAAAAGACCCCCCGGAAGTTTTTGAATGTTATAAATTGTGATTCTAATTTTATTTTAGTTTGATTTTAGAAAATTACGATGTAATCTGTTTGATGAAAAATGAAAAGAGAGAAAAAGCCATCAATGATGGGTTTTTAGAGTATTAGATGTTTTCCTCAGCCATTCTCTTACAGCTTTTTTTTTTTATATTTTATTATCGACATAATGAATTTTTCTCGTTTATCAGTGTTTTTTCTCAAAATTGTTTCACGTAAAACTTATATGTCTGTTTATTTTCTTCTTATTATTTCACGATCGATTACTCCTCATTATTTATAATAGGGTAAGGTTTGATCGTTTAGGAATTGTTAAATAAATGAGTTAACTTTTTTAAAATGATACAATAGAAAAGCGTGTTCCCCAGAAGCTAGGTTTTAACTGGAAATGAAAATCACTATTCTGCGGAACAGCTTGCGGTTGAAGATCATTATCTTTTGACTTCAAATTAACGATCAGCGGCTGAACATTGCTTGTCATCCGGTTAAGTAGATGAATGTGATACACCACTTCCCAGAATATAAACCCTAATCCCGGTTGAGCCATTACGAGTATCGATATCAGAATCATGAAGCAGCGTCTTACGACTCTTGACATGATTAGTTGGTTAATTGTTTCTTTTAAGAAAATTATTATGTATGAGATGGTTTTAAGAAAGGTCGTTTACTTTTTTTGAATCCAGAAGAATGCACGAGTCCGACAAAGATTGATCATTGACTTAGAATGCATGGAATGGGTCAATTTCATTAGAACCACTTACGTTCCTCTATCAATGGCTTCCCTTGAAGCTCAGAAATGCTCTTTTCTAAATAGGTTATCTGTTATATTTACAAACCGTGGTGCATTCATAAATATTTTTAAGATAAATACATTTATATTAATAATATAAGCTTTTTATATGAAATGAATATAAATAAAATTTTAAGATGGACATCAAACATCATAATAAAATGAACAATTAACATAAAAAAATCCAAAGGTTAACACTTGCATCCGTTACTATTTACAAACCATATTTAGTCATCAATAATAAAGCAAGAAAAGGTGGTGTTACAAGCAACTCCTATACCGCTTCCTTTCTTTGTAAGAGGATCAACATAAAAATTATTGTGTTATTACGTAACAAATTAAGGTTTCAAAGATATATTCTTCCTAATTTTTCCACTGGGGATGACAATTCATCTCCTTCTGTGAAGTAATCTAGCAAAAAGTTGAACAAATTCTTCTCATTATGAACTTCTTCTTCTTCAGATGAGTTCTTCTCATTATGAACTCCTTTTGGAAATGCTGATGATGATATATCTCCTTCTGTGATAGAGTCATGCAAAAGGTTGAACAAGTTCTTCTCATTATGAACTTCCTCTTCCTCTTCAGATAAGTTCTTCTCATTATGAACTTTCTATGGAAAAGTTGGTGTTGATCTATCTCTTTCTGTGATAGAGTCATACAAAGGTTGAACAAGCTCTTCTCATTATGAACTTCTTCTTCTTCTTCAGATAAGTTCTTCTCATTATGATCTTTCTATGGAAAAGCTAATCCATCGAGTGATGAATTAAAGCTAAAGGTTGAACAAATTCTTCTTATTATGAACTTTTTCTTCATTCTTCAGATAAGTTCTTCTTATTATGAACTCTAATTGGCACTGCTGATCCACCGAGTGATGAATTCGAGCAAAAGGTTGAACAAATTCGTCTAATTATGAACTTTTCTTCCTTCTTCAGATGAGTTCTTCTCATTATGAACTCTACCTGGCAATGTTGATCCATCGAATGATGAATTTAAGCGAAAAGTTTGAACAAGTTCTTCTAATTATGAACTTATTATTCCTTCTTCAGATGAGTTCTTCTCATTATGAACTCTTCTGGAAATTTTGATCCATGAATGATGAATTTAAGCGAAAAGTTTGAACAAGTTTTTTCTAATTATGAATTATTCTTCCTTCTTCAGATGAGTTCTTCTCATTATGAACTCTTCTGGAAATGTTTTAAAAAAACATTTCGCACTGTAGGGCTTACAGCTGACTCGAAGGTTTTGAAAACATCAAAAAGCTCCCGAAGGCTTTTTGGAAACATCATGCACTGTAGGACTTATAGATGACCCTAAGGCTTTGAAAACATCAAAAAGCTCTCGAAGGCTTTTTGGAAACATCATGCACTGTAGGACTTACAGATGTGGGAAATAGTTTACTAAGTAAGAAACTATGAAAATCGTTTTCTTACTTTTCAACAATTTTATTTTTAGAAAAGATTGAATGAGAAACTATGGAAATCGTTTTCTCATTATTTTTCAAAATAACATGTTGATTAGGTAACATGACCAAATCTCAAAATAATGTTCATTCTTGTGGATTGCGTCCATATATTCTTCAGATGTTGGCGTGATTCCTGCATTCGAGGTTTTGAATTCTACATTCTTCTTATAAAGTATTGTTCATCATGAATCTTCTTTTTCATATGAAGATCTGCAAAACCTTATGTTTGAATGCAATCATATGTATCAATGTAATGCATTATCTATTGTGTAAATGATATTCTTATGAATGCATGAATGTTGATGCAATCTTCATTTGACTTCAAAGTGGTGAACTTGGTCTTCCTTCACTTCATCATTTATTGCCAGGGTTATCTCTGGATATCAGTGTAGAAACTTATGCTATCAAGCTTGCATTTCTGCAGAATCATCTGATCAACTTGTATCTTTGTGTCTTCTTTGCTTCATTTAAGTCTCAAAGAAATGTTTTATTTGTGGAACTCTTGCTGTAGTCAGAACTATGACTTTGATGCCCCATTTTGTCTTTGGTAACATCAACTTTCTTTGTCTGGACTTGTGTAGAAATCCAATAAAGCTTTCATCTTCGAAAAGAGAATCTATCATCTTTAAAAAGAGAATTTATCATCTTTGAAGAATATAGATGTAGATATGTATGCCTCAGTAGGGATTAATTAGGAGAGTAGAGTCTGTTCTAATTTGACTCTTTGAAACATATCATAAGGAAGATTTATCCTAATTTCTTTCATGTCTCCATATTTAATTGGATCTCGAACAAGACAACTCATACCATATCATGTTGAGATGCTTAACAACAACCTGTCGTTCAATCTTAGTTGGATCCACTAGTTTCTTGTTGTCAAAATTTCAGCTTCCCTTATGTGGAAAGAAATCTTCATATATCTCACTTCTAATCTGGGGTTGAAGAACTTCATCTTGCATCAATAAATGAAAACCATATGATCACAACATTGGCTCAGCACCATAATCACTGGTTTGTAAAACATTTTGACAACACATTCATCATTTTCTGTGGCTTCTGCACAGATTTCTAATCAGGAAAGTTCTTTCATAGTGTTCAACGCTTTTGTATGATGTCATAAAACCGTTTGAGAACAAAACTCAGTGGGGATACAAGTGAGATGTTGGTATGACCAAAAAGTTGGTCAAATTCACGATATATGCTAGTGTCGAGTTGAATAAAAGATACCAACTGATCTTGATATCATCTCGAGCAAGGGAAAGTGTGATATCGATCACGTTTTCTTCCGAAATGAGCATTATAGAAAGTAGAAACACTTAAGCTATAGGATCCATATATAGAATGAGGTTTATAGAATTCTCGCCGCTGGGGATGAAACACACAGGATAAACTGAATAGATGAAAACTCAATTCACCCTGGCTGGTAATGATAACCCTGGTAACAACGGGAATAAGAATAACATTAGTTGAGCCTCTTTATTTAATATCATCAAGTCTTATGTGAAAAACAACTTTGTGATTTCAACAGCGCGGTTGAAAACTAACTGCCAGAAATCTCAAAGAAATATGTTCAATCATTATTGTCACACAAAAGACCAAATTCAAAGCCGAGATCTTGAGGAACTGAACCCTGGATCAAATGGTTTGCCTGGGGACCATCCTTATTCATACAACTATGATGTAGCTTAACAAAGAACATACTGTTATGTGACACATGGTTTAAGAAGATTGAGTATTTGAAACCATTCTTGCTGAGTAGATATTTGTTCAACAATATGATCCTGATGTAATTATCTGATGAACGAAACAATAATGTATAGTCAGCTCTACTGTCAATGTTTCACCATTTTCATTCTTCATTCTTTCTGTCTTATTGGAAATATTTGTTCAAGGTAATGATCTTTAACACATAATGATACGGGCCTTCAGCATGTCCCAGCATTGTTGATACGAACGTTCAAAAATGCATCAACATTCCTAATTCTGATTGAAATGGGCTTTCAGCATGCCCTGATATTTGCTTCTTGTTAATCTGAGCCTTCAAAATGCCCCACATGGATCTGTCTGAAGGAACCTTTAAAATGGCCCAACATTTACTGATACAGATGTTAAAAGTGTGCTCAACATTACTTCTTGTTGAGATGAGCCTCCAAGAATTCCCAAATATTCATATTGTTGTGAGCCTTCAAAATGCCCCACTATTCTATTTCTGGTTAAAATGGACCCTCAAGATGTCCCTCTAGATCTTTCTGATTCACTCTTAATGTCTATTTGACTGAAATGTAATGATCCCCACGAGGTCCAATTTTGACAATGAACTGTTGTAGGTACTTGTAGCTTTATTCGTGCCCCAAATCTGTTTATCTTGAATACTCTCATTTTGGTATCACTAAACAGTAGTATTATCAAGTAACTGGAGAAATTCTCTTCATGTTGTCACACTTAAGAAGTACTCAATCATTCTGACAAAAATGTCTGAGATATGTGTCTTCTGAATGAGGTGACCATTTTCTGTATCTGGAGGGATTTAGTCAGACAGAGCAATATAAATAGCTTGGTAATCCGTTCCAGGCTGAAACAGTGGCTTATCATCTTTCAGTGAAGGCCATCTCTAAAATATACTTTTATGTGGGAGATAAACCAATTTATGTGAACATTAATCTGATACAATAGCAAGACTACATATACAGTGGTACAGACTCATCAAAAATCCACACCCATGGAACATGTTGATTCTGATAACAACTCATCTGATTATGAAGCGATCTTTCAGGATGATTTCACAGATATTGATAGTTCTTTCTGATACCGAGGAAATCCTGAATTCTTATTCTGATGAGGAGAATAAACAGTTATACTTGACAAAAATAGGATATTCAGAGGTTGAGGCTTCAATAGCCATGGAGAGATGTGGTCCGAATTCATCAATTACAGAGTTGACAGATTTTATATGTGCTGCTCAAATGGCTAAGGCTGTTGATGCACTTCTTTAAGTAGAAGATAGGAAGCAATTATGCAATGACCCCAATTACAAGCAAAGACGAAACTCTGGCTATGATTTTTGGAAAAGGAAGAAACAGAGGAAGCTTGAAAAGAAGCTTCTTAATGAAGACGATCATGCAGTTCATTTTTTAATCCAATGATTGGTTTTGGGGTTCTTACCGAACCAGATCAAATAACTCAAAGAACACTTCTAGATGATGCTATTGGGCCTCTTTATTTCTACTACAAGAAAGTGGCACTTGCTCCAGTTGGTGCTTGGACTGAAATGTCACAGTACTGATGTAGAGCCAGAATTTGTAGATTCGAAGTATTTTCATGCTGCTACACTGAAAAGGGGCTATGTTCATAATCTGCCAATTGAGAACAAATTTCCTCTTATTCTACTTTCTTATTGCACCATACATGATGCTTTTCCATTAACAACAAACTGGTGACCTTCTGGGATAAAGTTGAACTGTTTACAAACATGTACAAGAAGTGCCAAATTGACAGAAATGATCCGTAAGGCTCTTGAAGCTTATGACGATGAGTCACCTTCGAGTGTCCAGAAGTATGTTCTTGATGAGTGCTGAAAATGGAATCTGGTATGGGTTGGAAGGAATAAAATTGTTCCACTTGAACCTGATGAGGTGGAAATGCTTCTAGGTTTCCTTAAAAACCATACATGAGGAGCTGTTAGAGACATGTTCTCCGGTGATATCAATATCCTGTCTTTTTTTTCTGGGATCAGTGATGCAGAGGTCGCCTTCTACTGTCTTAGCATATCTTTGAAAACAGATGTGCAAGAACTGAATGATGTTCGGTTGGAGCAATTGATGAGTAGATTTGTCGAATTCGACCTTGTTGTCAGTGGCATCCACGTAACAACCTTAATGGAAGCACTAAACATCATCAAGATCGACTCGAGGATTTTTGTTGGCGTCTTTTCTTGCATTGAATGCTACAGTGACTGCCTCTTCTGCTGCTTTAAGATACTCACTGCTATATCACACTCTTCCCGAACCATGGAAAGGTTTAATTGACAGTAAAACTGGTTATCTTTACTTTTGGAATCCTATAACCAATGTTACCCAATATGAAAGGCATACAAGTGTAGAATCCGCTCCAATGTCATATTCTGTGCCGCAAGTTTAGATTTCAGTTCAACAATCTTTTGCAGGACATAATGGATATCATCTTGACAAAGAAAATGATCGGCATGAAAGAAGCACAATGATGTATTAAGACTTGAGCTAGCACCACGGTATAACCAGAGTGCATGTAGTGACTTGTTCATGGCTCTATGATGTAATCTTCTAGAGAACATGAATTGATGGTTGGGGAAAATAATCTGTCTGGTGATGCTTATCGCCCTCAGCATGAGATAAACGATAATCTTTCTTGATGAGCTGCTAATAATGTCATAGGAGATTGTCACAAGTTCAATTTTCCAGACTTTCTGGCTTCTTGGACCACTTGCCTTCAAAAATGTGAAGTGCTTCATTATTCTGGCCTCGTTCATTATTTTTCTACAACAGAGGTAGAATAAACAACAATTGTTTCAAGAACCTTCCTCATTTGAGACTGTCCTGTTTGAAAATGTTTTTTTCTCCTTTCTTTATTGAAGAATGAAAGAATTTTGTAAAGTATTACCCCTTTCAGGTTCACAATATAATCAAATCATAAACAATGAATTTAATGAATATCAAATAAATCAAATACACTTTTAAATCATTCAAAAATCATAGTTCTATGGCAAGTGTCAAAATTATTGACTGATTTGAGGTGTAGGTTGATTTTGGTAAAGTAGGTTCTTTCAAGTTGGTTCAGTATGTAATGTAACACTAACCCGTACCCGACCCGGATACGAGTCTGAGGTGTCACATTGACTTTTCAAACTTTGACTCTTGACAAAATTCAAAGAAAATTTAAAAATTTCATTAAAGTAAAAGCAATTTAGTTACATAATTTGACCAAAATAACCAAAATCGATCAGAGCATATTTAACTCAATCAATTAGTACATGCCAACTATATTCAAAATAACAAAAATCATTTAACTCATCTATTTTCTGATCTGAAATCTTGTAAGGGAGATGCTGACCTGTATTGCTCCTCACAGCTTCTATATTCACTTTCAGTAACCTGCGGTGAAACACTCACACGCTAAGTTGATGACTTAGTGAGGCATAAAGAAAACACATCTAATGGAATTCATACCCACTAATCATGCATGACTGTTTTATGCTATCAAATTATACAACTCATTTACATATACATCAACATATATTCATGTATATTATGTAACAGATACCAAAACCCCTATCACACATATATCATATCATGCAATTCATATCACACATCATATACATATATCACATACATTGTTCTCATATCACCAACCTGTTTATCCTTACTAATTCCCTTGTCATTACTTCAATTCCGTCATATGAGCATATAATGAATATAAACATATATATATTTTAATATGCCACAATACATTACTAATTTCTATAATCATATAATACATAAACGCATAACATCTCATATCACCATGAAATATATGCACTTCTACCATGTCACGAGAAATACACATATCATTATATCAAATTATGTTATCTTTTCAAAGCCCATGTACACATATGAGAACTATAGATATGTGAGTCTATAGAGGTTGTGCACTATGCTGTCACCATAGCTCGTATAATTGCACCGAAGTGCCACGTAGAATTGCACCGGAGTGCCGCGTAGAATTGCACCGTAGTGCCATATAATAATGTCCATAAGGACCACATATCATTCCTTAAGAATCATATACATATACTAGGGATCAAGTATGTGTCTCACCAGACTTCACACATGTTCCAAAGAATACATATATGTCCCAAATGACCACATATCATTCCTTAAGAATCATATACATATGCCAAGGATCAAGTATGCGTCTCACCAGACTTCACACATGTTCCAAAGAATACATATATGTCCCAAAGGACCACATAGACCCTCGACTCTTGGCATGCCAACCATACCCCTAGCTCTCATGACACATAACATGGGCATTAATATTTATGTTAACATACATTCACATATACACATAGTCATGTAGTTCTTTCACATAGCTCATCGTCATATAAATCACATATCACATATACATATAAACACATGGTTCACTTACGCGTAGAAAATTTTCATATAATCGCATAGTCATATAATATTTCATATAACATATATTTTCTCTTTCATATATCTCATATCATGTATCATATCTTGTGATCATATAATCATGTTACTTATAATCACATAACTTCTACTCATAGGGTTCAACATCATTAAACTTAGTTCACTTTTTCATATTATCATACATTTATACTCTTATATGTCCTATCAATAACCTATAAACTTACTCATATTCTCATATATACTATTTTAATATAATTTGTATAGTAATATTCTATAATTGTATCATATAATGATTTTACCCAAGTACTTCTTTATAAAGTTTATATTACAGGTTCAATTAGTATCATTCTATCCTATAAATAATTTCCACTTATTTTATATCATTTTCCCTTTTCACTCACATAAACCATCTATTTATTTAGTTCAATTTCTCATGACTTCCATAATACTCTTTAATAAAACTGTGTAGCTCTTCACTTTAATACATAAACCATAGTTTCCTTTAATTTATCAATCTTCTCTATATAACTTATGTATCCTTATTTATGCCCTCGAATTCATACTATTCTCTTAGAGTCTCCTAACATTTCTCGTATAATCACTTATACCATATCACATGACTTATAATTGATTATCTTATTCTCTCATGTTCATTTCATTTCTTATGACTCTATCATATAACTTATTCCATGTTCTTCCATTATTACAGAATAAAGTCTTACATAAATCATATAACATATACAAAGCATATCATTATCTTTAGTCATGCATACATACAATCAATGTAATACATATAATCACATATAGTTATAACCAACACATAATCATGTCTATGACTTCATGCATATTACTCTAGGAAATAGACTCATCACAAGTCTTATTTCCATTAAACACTACATGTCACTAGTATGCACTCACCTTGGCCTTACTAGTCAATTCCAATCTCTTATCTTTCCCTTGATCGATCTTACTTGCCAAATGTTCAGGAATTGCTTTACGCGCAGAATCTACATAAATGTACATTTTGAGGCAATCATTAGATACCTACACCTTGTAATTGGATACTAGCAACTTAAACGAACTTATTAAACCCATATTCATAATTTTCCTTTAGGGGGAATCGGTTCCCTCCTGTGGGGGAATCGGTTCCCCTATGAGATTCTGGAATTTCTGGTTCGTTTGAGGGGGTATCGATTCCCCTTGAATGGGTACCGATTCCCCTAGCCCAGAAATCATATTTTCAACACGAAATTTATTTCAATTTCATCTTAAACACTTCATATTTCAACCTCTTTCATATACTAAACTCAAACACACATACTTAAGCCCATTTGTACTCATTTAACCCATTTAATTCTCAAAATCTTCTCCTCTTAATGAAATTCAATAATTATACTCAAATTTCAACATGTTCTAAATTCCTTTCTATCACTCCAAATCTCTTAATTCAACTATTGACAAGTCAAATTCAACTTATCAACTTTATTTCAAGATTTCATTCAAAAATTCAAAATCTTTAATCTCTCCTAATTCCACCATCCTTTGTTTTTAAGATGATTTAAGCTTTCCTTAAGCTTAATTATCATCCAATAATCATAACCAAATCCTAAATTCAGTAAAATATCAACTAACAAGAGATCTTACCTTTGCTTATGGCTTCACGGTGGAAAAGAAGAGAATGAAGAAGAGAAGTCTGGAACTCTCTCATATTTCCCACGTTTATATAATACTCAAAAAGGGAAGATAAAAATCTTTCCCATGAAAAGACCATTTGCCCCTTTAGTTCATCCATCTTTGCTATTTAATCCAATATTAAAATTCTTTACTTAAATCCCGAGACTTTTAATTTCATTTCTAAATTGAACACAAAACTTTCAAAGTTTGCAATTTAGTCACTGACCCTGATTTGGGATGTTACAAATCTTCCCTCCTTTAAAGAAAATTCGTCCTCGAATTTTCACTGCATGCCTTTATAATATCATATCTTCTAATATTTTCATATTGCTTCCCTTAATATTTCCTGCCACCACTACAACCTACCATTTTCCCATACTCAATTCTTCATATACATCCACATCTTTATAAGTCCATATAATATTATTCATTATATAGATAGCAACCCCAAATCCTTAATCCTTTCTATTATGGATCAATTGATCTTTTTCATCATTCTCTATGTGCTTTGCACATAAATCAAGCTTTTGCTCATTTTTTAATCCTTGTAAATATTATTATACACCCAATCTTTTCATATAACCCTTACGTATTTGTTCAAAGAATAATCACCCATTCTCGTTCTTCTAATAATTGAAAATTGTATTATTTCAATATCAACTTATAACTTATATCTCAATATACCTCTTGTCTTACTTGATCGTTTAACCTTCATCTTTGTCTTTTCTTATCCCTTTATTCTTTCATTCCTTCCAAAATCAAAATTTCCTTATAACATAGATCACATCTTTTCTTCAGGCTCTCATACTCTTTTCATATCATTTATACTTATC